ATATAAAAATTGTCCCTAATTTTATTGTCCCAAGCGCCTTCAACCCCTTCTACAGCCACTTTCAAAGGGGTTTCATCTCTGGCATTGTTATTTTTTTCCTCGTGTTTTGAATGTTACGTTGTATTATTATGTCCGTGTTGTTTTTTGTATAATAAGCGTTCACTCCAAGCTCTCACATGCCGCGCGAAACTGGAATTCGCGTGAGCGTCTTTCTATTTTCTATTTTTAAAAACTTTAAATACAACTTTTACACTATTAAATAATGTAAGATTGACGGTAGAAGAGTATTGTTTGATACCGAATAACGAGATGTTTCTGATAATCTAATTTATGTAGAATTCTTGTGTTTTCGACCAGAATTTTCCTTAAAGTTTCTTGTAAATTATGCATTAATAAATGATTTTATGGTACTATGATCATATAAGTGACACATAAAGCGTCTACCCAAGGAGGTGGTAGTGTATTTATTTATTTTTAATCATTTCCCCCCAAGCAAAGTGGGAATGCCACGGGAATGCAGGGTTTACAGAGAGTGAAAGCGAGAGAAAAAAACTGGGCAAAGGGGGATTGAGAAAACGATAAAAGATGAACAGGATTCAAGAAGGCAAATGATGATGATTGACGTTGCATTTAAATCTTTGAAGATTGTAGTTGTCAGGGAAGCAAGTAAACAGGGATAGGAGCGTTTATTCCGAGCCTTCGTGAGTTGAGCGCGGCTGGAATTCGAGTGAGCCTCTTTCAATTTAAAAAAAAAAATTAAACACCCCGTTCTCACAGTTAAATAAGGTGAGGTAGATTGTGGGAGAGAGATGTTTGATATACAAGGGCTTCTCTTATAGCGAGATGTTTCCGCTAATGTGATTTTATATAGAATTTTAATATTTTCGACCAGTAAGGGTTCTTGTAAATTTTGGGTTGATAGATGTTTTTTATAGCACTTTTATATTTATTACACACACACACACACACACACACACACACACACACACACACACATATATATATATATATATATATATATATATATATATATATATATGAAAGTGGACACTGATTTCAGCAACGAGCAGCAGCAGTGTACTTCAAGATTGCGTTCAAACTTGAAACAGACTGTTGCTGCTCGTTTTTTGAGTCGACTTTCAGATTTACTTTTCAGATTAAATTACTATCCTTGATAATGAATAAATATACCATGCCTTAAAATTATATTATATCAAACACACAAACACGCATACAGACAAAGACACACATATATATATATATATGTGTGTGTGTGTGTGTATGTGTGCGTGTGTGCATATAAAATAAAAACTGGTCAACACCAATCGGCAATGTTTTCTTTCATTTATCGACGAATCTTCAGGCCATGTATAAGAGAATATGTTGAAAAGGAAAGATGTGATTAAAAGAATAGCGAAGGTTTTTGTCGCAGAAAAATAAAAATATTTGTCAACAGGCCATAGGCTGAGGATTGCGTTTAAGCATAAAACAGCCTGTCGCCGATGGGTGTTGACATCAATGTCCACTTTTATATTTACATACATGGTATCGCTGATATGAGCACTTTTACCCAAAAATATAGTATGGCATAAAACTATATCATTATCATATATATATATATATATATATATATATATATATATATATATATATATACGTGTTTTCGTTGTCTTTATACTCGCTTGTTTTTTTTTCTTTGGAATAAGGACTTAAGACACTTGACTTTTTTTTTTGCCTTCTTCTGATGTTTTTAGTTCTTTCTTTTTTAACTTCCAATATTTTTTCCTCAGGTACCAATTTGCCCTCAGCTGAGTCATCCGAGGTTTTTCAAGCGAGTAATATTGTTTTTATATATATATATATATATATATATATATATATATATATATATATATATATGGTTTGTTTGTTTTACGGCATATCAACCTCGATGGGTTATTTAATGCCGACAATATTTTTATTACGGGTAATATATTTTTTCAAAAATGTATTGCTGGTAATGTAATATGTACTCATTTTTTCTTCAAAAAATTATTGCTGGTATTTTTCTTACAAAAACATATTCCTGGTAGTACAACCTATTTTTTACACTTTCATAGTGTTTTGAGTCGAGTTTGGGGGTTAAGTATTTGCCCATAGCTTATTTGGGTGGTAGCACCTATTAGATGCTACCATCCAACTAAGAGGTGGTTGGTTCCATGCTCCTCAAAGACTCCTGATCAGTGTGTTTCTCTCTCTCTCTCTCTCTCTCTCTCTCTCTGTGTGTGTGTGTGTGTGTGTGTGTGTGTGTGTGTGTGTGTGTACATGCTCAATTTATATCCATTTTGGGAAAGAGAGACATTAACAGAATTTAAAACGTTGGTTGATTTTTTTTTGTTTTAGTTTCTGTTGAGAAATATTTTTTTAGTTTTTTGCTTATCCACTGCAAAAATGTTACGAAAAACTAAAAAGCTTTTTTTTTGTATATATTTTTTTCATCTTTATTTGCTTTAGTTTCATTCACCCGTTGCTTCTCCTTCTTCATATTTATACTTGAAAACTAACGCACATATGAAACAACGTCATTTTTCATTGATTTTCATTTTTCTTCTCTTTTTTTTTTCTTTCGCTTCTTCTATTTCTTCGTCCACGTCATCACCTTGTTTTGCTTCTATAGCGTTTTCTTTTTTTTTTTTTCTTTTCTTGTCTCTCGATCTTTTTTCTTTGTTTCTTCATTCACTCTTTTTCCTTCCATTATTTTTTCTTTTTCTTCTTTTTCTTTTCTTCTCTTATTCATTGACTCATTCATCATTTTCAATCATCCTTATTTTCATCTTACGAGTTCTTTTCTTTCAGTTTTGTTTTACTTTCTTTACTTCCTCGTTTCTTGTTTTTATTAGTTTTCCTTCATTCTTTTCGTTCGTTTCTCTTTCATTTTCTTTCCTTCTTCTTCTTCATATTTCCTTTCTTTTTATTCTTTTTGTTTTTCTATAATTCTTTTTCTCATTTTGTCTTTCTGTCCAGCATTCTCATTGCTTTCTTCCATTCGTACAAGTAAAACGGAGAAGGAAAAAAAAATCTCTCTCCAGTTAATGTGTAGCTGCAATGTCGTCACTTCTGGCGGTAGAAAAATCAAAAAAAATTACGACTGGATAAATAGTGCGCAAATGGACGTTTGGAAAAGTTTTTCTTGTGTCTACCATTCTCTAAAGCAAAGAACGCGGGGTGAAACCTCCGGTTACAACAGTTTTCTAACTTACTTCCGGCGAAACATTTTAGTTAAGGAAATGTGCGTGTAAAAATCAAAGAAAGAAAAAAAATCAATAAATTCATGAAATAGAAAAAAAAGAAAGACATATTTGAAGATAAGCAGAGAGAAAAGGAAGAGAGAAAGAGGAAATAACTTAAGAAATAGTCGTTTTTAGCTAAACATTTTTAGTCGTTACTTTTCTCACAGACACACACTCTCTCTCTCTCTCTCTCTCTCTCTCTCTCTCTCTCTCTCTCTCTGTGTGTGTGTATTTCTCTCTCATTTTTATTCTGCTGTTTTTTATTTCGTTGCTATAGATTCACCGAAAATTATCTGGACTTCAGTAGATGTTAGTGATAAACAAAAACCGGAATGTTGTACGCGGGAGAAAAATCCGAAACGAACCCGGGAGGTCGTGGCAAAATCTTTCAAATGCACTTTCTTATATACAGTCGCTCAAAAGTAAGAAGGGGGAAAAACGATCAAAATAAACGAAAGGTAGAAAATGAATGCATTCTTTTGACTTGTTCTTTTTTCGATTTCACTGTACATTTTTATAGTTCATATGTATAGGCATTCCTGTCTATGGGCATTAACTACTAGAGATAAGCATATGGGATGAGATGCTCATCTCTCAAGCAAATATGCACACAAAGAAAGTGTCAGAAATGCATACATATTTAAACAACTCAAGCATATGTGGTGTCATTTCTTGCACAGGTGAAAATTAACCTGAGAAAAGGTTAAATACTGAATTGCATTCGAACGATGGAAATTGGTATTGAAGATTATGTCCAAATGTGAAACGGAAAAGATGTTAAAACTTATTAACAAATATGATCTAGTATGAGATGCAGCCCAAGAGCTCCAAGACTAAAGGGGCCCCGAAAGGTTTTGCGTTCTGTGCCGTCTCAACGAAAAGGACAATTTCTTTTTCTCATTCGTTTTATTAGGATAGAGTGGTAGCAGCTTGGATTCTAAGAGGCAGCAGGAGGAATGGCGTCACAGGGGCGCATGTCTCACGTTGGCTCATCGTCTCTCTGTGAGTCGTCTTAGCCGGTCGCTAACCTGGGTGTGGGAGGCGTATCGACGCTTCAGAATTCTTGCGGCCTGCTGTTGAATTCTCGCCGTTTTGGACTTAAATCCAAAACCCAGACAAAATCAAGCCATCAATGTCATAATATCCCGCCCACGAGACACTCCGGGCAATCACTGACCATTCGGCCCCTGACCTTGGCATTTTGTAACAAGGGTCCTCTAGTCTTGGGCCACTGAAAAAAAAAACTCAAAAGAAAAAAAGATATACGGATAGAGAAGATTTGATTATTTTCAGATTTAATTCATTTGTTCTACTATATATATATATATTTGATTTTTCTCTGAGCAAGTCATTATTTTTCAACGTAATACAATCCAAAACAATTTCATACAATCCAAGAATCTCCATGACGGTATAGCTATTACACCTACTACCTTGCCTTTTATAGTTCACGTGATTTATATATTTTTACCGCTCATCAACATTCTGCAAGGTATTTAAAGCCAGAAAATATTTTTAGATTGTGAGAATGTTTTGGACATAACATTGAGTTTACTGATACAGGTCTTACTACTTAACCCATAGTTGGAGGGAGACGAGATGGATTCATCATACTTTTCAACAAAGCGAATTTGCGCGTAAGTGAATGTAATGAACTCAACCAGAATTGGAACTCGGCTCTCCGAGTTCCAATTCTGAGCCATGAACCATTACGACACCGCCACATCCAAGCTTACAGTACCTGGTATTCCAAAACGATCACCCATCTAGGTACTAACCAAGATCGACGTTGCTTAACTTCGGTGATTCGCAGGAGAACCGGTGTTTCACCGCGATATGGCCGTAAGCCTAGAGTTTAATTGAGTCTTGGAATAAATGAACGAAATTTCCGTATTGCGGTATCCTCACTCACTCACTCACTCACTCACTCACTCACTCCCACTCTCTGTCTCTCTGTCTCTCTCTCTCTCTCTCTCACACACACACACACACACACACACACACACACACACCTGCACACTCTGTCTCTCTAAGAGGCAAAAAATATATAAAGAAATTAAAACGTTTACCATTTTTACAACGATGTCAATTCGTTCAGGGGTCTTTTTTGGAATCGTTGAAAATTCATCCATGTTTGTATCCCTGACCAAGAGGGAAACAGATAGCAGCACATGCGGTCTGACGATCCTTGCGGTAAGTTTCTTTAAATTAACACATACAAAAACACACGCACTCGCCCGTAGACACACGCGCGCACGCACACATAAATATATAAAGAAAGATATATATTAACAGATTATAATAGATAGATAAATAGATAGATAGATAGATAGATAGATAGATAGATAGATAGATGTGAACAGACTAACATAGATAAATAGATAGATAGATATATAGATAGATAGATATGAACAGACTAACATAGATAGATAGATAGATAGATAGATAGATAGATAGATAGATAGATACGACCATGCCAACCAAGATAGACAGATAGATAGATATGAACAGACTAAGACAGATAGATAGATAGATAGATAGATAGATAGATAGATAGATAGATAGATAGATAGATAGATGTGAACAGACTTAGATAAATAGATATATATGAACAGACTAAGATAGATAGATAGATAGATAGATAGATAGATAGATAGATAGATAGATGTGAACAGACTTAGATAAATATATATATATGAACAGACTAAGATAGATAGATAGATAGATAGATAGATAGATATGAACAGACTAAGATAGATAGATAGATATGTACGTCAATCTATATAAATGATATAAATACTAATAAATATCAATGGATGTTGGAAATATATGGGATAATTGTTGATCTATTCTATATTTTATTTTTTATTTTCTCTTATTTTCTGGCTTTAAAATAGAAAAATCCATTGGAGAGAAACATGGCCAATCTTTTTTTTTTTTCTTTTTCCTTGTATTTCTTGGCCGGTGGATATATATTTAGTTACTTTTTTTTTTCTTTCTTTTTTGCCTTGCATTTTTCTTTTCTTAAATTTCCGACTGTAATCTTAAGTTGTTTTATACAAGAGGTGTAAAAAAAACAGAAGCTAAATGTTTATATTTTATCTGCGTCATTTGCTAATCTAATTTTTAGTTTTTCCATTTGAATACGACTCAACTTTCCCTGGTGATCATGTCAAGTTTTAATTTTTCGAAGTACATCGACATTTGTTTTTTTTAAATTTCGGTAGATCTATGTATGAATTATTCAGCCATTTTAGTCTATCTTAAGAATCGTTTGCGCAGCCTTCGTGCAATTTGTTAATTATTCAGAGGAAACTTTACTGTGTATGCTTAACTACAATTATCGGCACTGAGACATCTTTGAGTGAGCTTTTGTGCTGTGTAATGTTCACATTCACGATGTCCCAGTGAAAGACTTGTGAAGGGTTTTTCGACAAAGCAGCAATTCATCTACTATGATTGTCAATTCTATCCGCCTAGAATTCAACTTGTCCCAAAGTTACAACTGCTGTGGATGAGATTAAGGAGAATGTGAAAAGACTGAATGTTTTGACATGTAGACGAGACGCGACGATATTAAGATAATATACTGAATATTTTCCGGACAATATTATTTCGTACAGAAAACAATTTCAGGTGTCTCTTTAGTCTTATTGACTTGGTTTAGGCTAGCACGTAGCTAAAGGCTAGTAAATATGGGTAAGTAACCTGCCCTGTAAATCAGAATTCTGCGTTTTAGCTTGTGTTTAAACACAACCGCTGACACACAACTGCCTCTGCCAAAAAAAAACAAAAAACAAAAACAGGCCAAATCTTTTTTGATTTGATCTTATCTACTCTAATAGAATAGATTAAGGTTAATTTGCAAGTCTCAACAACAGCTATGAGCTAGCAGTTACAAAACAGATTCAAAGACACGAGGGGGGTGGGTAGGAAAATCCAATTGTTTAATTCTGAAGAACGATGTCAGTTTGATCATGGCTGCAGTGTGTGCCTGCTGAGGGGTAATAGGTATCCTGACAAGAGCAATGCCTGTGCCTGAGCTTTAGACGTCGGCGCATACTGCGGTGTAAGCAGATGTCATGCCACGGAAACGCCCACGTGATACTTTTGTATAATTAGAGCCGTTTAAAAGTGATCGGACTGGGGGAGACCTTCGGAGGATTGCTGCGCATGTTATGCATGACGTGTTAGCGGTGTTCCGATGTTGCCAGCAACGATCAGATGAACATACTTAAAACTATAGACCAGGTTCTGGACGGCCAAGTAGTACAGATGTTCGCATTTTAAGACAGCAGTGACAGCACGGCAATTAGCACACATTTAAGAGTAAATGTAGCAAAGATATGCTGGGAATCGTTTACTTGCTGCAGAAATATAGATACGCGTGTCTCTAGCCAGACTATTCTAGTTACAGCACTACCACACTGCCGTGCCTATCTTCAGTGGTTCCATGAGGCTATCACCTGCAGGATCAAATCAATTCCATAATGTGTAGAGTTGAGAACATTTTCTGCCTTCATGCAACTCATAGTCATTTGTGTTTGTGCCATTGGCCTGGAGAGCAGCATCTTTTAACATGTATTCACCCACAACTCACTCGCGTAAACTCCTTGAGGAGTATGGGGTCACAGCTCTCAAATCCTGTTGACATCCTCATGAATATAGAGCTACAGCTCACATGTCCCTTAGACGCCCTGATTAGTATGAGGCCACAGCTCTCAATTCCCATAGACCTCCTGATGAGTATGGGGCCACATATTTGAAGTCCTCTAGACCCTAAGGATTAGGGGGGGTCAAAGTTCTAAGCATGCTAGGAACTGCAGTTTTGGTTTCCATAGCAAGTCTGTTTCTACGGGAAAGAGTTGCTAGCTCCATACCCAACCGGTTTTGAATTCAGAGGTGTCCTTCTCCTTGACGGGTTATCAGCCACGGCTAAAGAGCCCAGTCTAATCTATTATTTAACCCATAGCTTGGACAAAAGATGCATTCATATGTTTACCGAGGATGTTTGCGCGCAAGTTAATGCAATGAACTCGACTGGAGTTTGGTCTCAACCCTCCCATTACTCACTTGTCAATTACCCCACCCGCGCACCCAGATTCACCCACGACAGAAAGGCCCAATCTCTGGCATCGGCAGGGTTAGGATGTCGCTCATCAGATAAAGCACGTTATGCATGTCCAGAGAACTTCTACTGCCATTCCTCCGGGCTGATGGCGAAATTTTTCCTACTGAAAAATATCCGCCGACATGATACCAATGCTACGCAACAACAAGCTCTTATATATGCTCAATAACTTCCCTCACTGGCTTCGAATCGCAATGAAATGTGCATGAAAGAAGGATTGCTGCCTAATTACGCAAAAATATATATATATATATATATATATATATATATATATATATACATATATATATATAATTAGAAAACCACAAAATGTAATATAACAATTCTAAGAGATATCCTTTGATACGAATATATATGAAGATAAGAGATAAGTAATGACACGATAAAAAAGGGAGTGGTGACGATAGTCGGTAAAATAAAAAAGGATAACAGATGGAGCAAAAGGTTGCCAAATAGATAGCAAGCGCAAAACAAAAATAGCAGACAGAAAAAGATTATATAGACATATCTACTAGCAAGACATGACAGAGACTAGGACAGTCATAACAGTCATAGAATGAGTTGGCAAAGGTGTCTATCCAACTGTCGGCTCACAATGGCTGTTGCTGTTGCTGATTGATTGTTTTTTTTATGGCTTATAATATATAACTTTTCTTGTAGGCATAGAGGATATGGGTCATTTAATGACCTACATGTTCTCATTTTTTTTAATAATTTCCATTTTACTGTGGGTGTTTTATTTGTTTCTTTTAAATGCTAAAAATATTTAGAGAAGGATGTTTGGTTACGATACCCATTGTTGTTGAAGAAACTAAGATGTTGGTATCATCTTTTTTTAAACTATTTTTGTGCTCTCAATATAAAATTTTTAATACTTGGATTTTCAATTGGTGAAATAATACATTGATAAACTATAGATTCTGTAAGACATTTATTTTGCAATTATATATATATATATATATAATGATTTGAGATAATTCATTATACAGTATTTACATTAGTCGGACTATTGTCCTCATCTTTGTCGCCATATTTGGCACGTGACAAATATGGCGACAAAGATAAGGACAATAGTCCGACTAATGTAAATACTGTACATAATACCTCATCTCAGAAATATAGACAGACTCATAATTCATAATTTTTTTAATGATTATAGGAACATAATACAAAATCAAGTGGAATAACGTTTTGCTCTTTCATTGAACTAAGTTTTTAGTTGCCATCTCGAAACCTAAAGTACAATCAATTTTGAACATAGTAGACACCTGTCTCCACTGAAAATGTAGGAGACATGATGGGACAACGCCTAACTCATTCTATTAGCCCGCCTACAATTCTCGCTGCATTGCGACAACTAGTTCTGCAATAAGCGTGTTACAATCTATCGTAAAATGGTATTAGCTAATTGTATGCATGCGAGGGTACAGAACTGCGTTAGTGCCCGATGAGGATATACAGTATATTAATATCGGAGTTTGAGAAATGTTGATAACACTCTTTATTTTTTTTAAACTGCGAACGTATCGATCTGTATTTGCTATTGTTTTCTCACACGTTTTATATAACGCTCTTATATATATATATATATATATATATATATATATATATATATATATATATATATATATATATATATATAGTGAGAGAGAACGAGAGAAATGAATGACAAGTTAATTCTGTAAAGATTTGTCATGTATGCGAACAAGTGATTT